GCCGCCTCGAGCGCGAGGCGAGCGGCGGCGCGCGCCTGTCGGCGCCGCTGCTGGCGCCGGCGCGGGTGGGGAGCGTGGTAGGCAGCGACAGCTTCGACGAAAACTGGGAGGAAGGCAGCTGGAGCGGGAGCTCGAGCGCGAGCGAGGCCGGCGCGGCGCCGCACGCGCCGCGGCGCGCCTGGTGGCTGGCGGGCGAGGACAGCGGCAGCGTCGCCGGCAGCCCAGGCGGCGCCGAGCAGGACGGCCAGCGCAGCGCGGAGGGCGGGGGATGGTTGGGCAGGCGCGCGTCGGGGGCGTCGCGGGCGCTGTCGTGGGTCAGGGTGCCGAGGGTGATGGGCATGGGAAGCTTCTACCTCTGGTACCCTGGACGGGCGCGGGGCGCGGCGCGCACGCAGGCGGCCACGCATCTGGGAGAGCCTCTTCTTGACACTTGATTAGGAACGCACATTGAGAGAAACACTTGCAAATGAGGGGCCTCGGGCGCAGTCCCGACGAGCAGCCCCCGCCAGCGGCCTGCGTAGGCCGCGCGCGGCGGCGCACTTGCCGGCTTCGAAACGCCTCCGGAGGGAATCCCCTGCAGCGATGCTTGCAACTTGGCTCGCCGCCGGGCCCTTGACATCACTTGTGTTGCGTTGCTGACTTTGCTGGATCCGTGCCGGCGGCGCTGCGCCCGCACTCCGGCGTGCACAATTCATTCATGCAAACATCTGAGTCCACCCCATGCGCTGATGACCAGCATTCGCCGCCCTTTTCATGGCCGTCCCGAGTCTGCTCCATTGCACGTGGCTAGGGGTTTGCCCTCGCCACGCATGTGGTCATCACACCACCCAAACTCTTTCCTTAAGGCAACCCCATCTGTCTGCACACCGTCTTGAGGTAGGCGAATCTAGAGACATGGACCGACGGATGCATTTGGCCTCCATTGATTAGCCCGCCAGGCACTACTGCGGTGCCAGTCGCAGCTGCAATCCGCCCCCCGGGGCGCAGCAGTGTCCGCTTTTGCGACACCTGTAATATCATCCCCGCGCCACCAAACTTAGTGATGCTGAGGCAGCAGGGTCAAGATTGCCGTGGACAGCGAGGATACACACAACATGCCCAGTTATTGATCAAGACAGCACGCGGGGCCCGCACCAAACCATGTCACGCGCAGGTATGTGCCGCTGCCCTTGCGGACAGCGCACCAGTGGCCTCAGGGAGGCCTGCAGGCTGATGACGGCTGTTTTGCAGCTTGCCGGGGTGTTGGTCGCTTCTGGAGTTGAGAGCCAGCGCCAGGGGAGGGGAGAGCAGAGGCGCCGCAGCTGCCATATGAGATGCCGATGGCATCTGCGACAGCAGCTGCACTGCAACCCAATGCGCCTGTCGCACATCTGGCAGGCTGTGACCCTGGCGCAGCGCCTGTGGGCGTCACATTGCCATCGCTGCTTGTTCCATCACTCACCCCCTGTTCTGCTTTAAGAGCCGTGAGATGAGGTGCAACCAATTGCAACTTCAAGGTGCCAACGTTCACCGTGCACGGGGCATCTCTTCCAAATGCGTTTTGAAAGGTCACAGGGCGGCAGGTAGCAGGACTTTCAAGCCACGTGCCTTGCCATGTGAACATTCCTGCATGGGTTTGACGACCCCAGTGTAGCAAGTCTGAAACAATCACGCCTCTGTGCGTCCAGGCGCAACCAGCAAGGGCCCACCGAGTCACCAGGGCTTTTCTGTGCAATCATGTGTCGATTCACTCATATTTTGTCTTGTGTATTGGCAGCCTCCACCGTGCTGCCAGACGTGCCAGGGTGGTTGGCCGGAGGCAAACTAGCCCCAACAAACTTGTCTGACAGTCCAGCACGGGGCGATACACAGGGTGGGAGAACTTCCCGGTAGGGCAAGCACTTGTATTCCAAGCAGACAACAACATACGCCTCTGCAGAAGATGGCCTTGACAGTTCAAGGACCATCATTGCATTCGAGGCACCCAGGGTGCAATCGAGGCACCAGCTGGAAGCACTGGCAGCTGCATTGGCACCTGCCGCTCTCTCAGCACGGCCTGTCAAGCTGTCAAACTTGCAGGAGGTTAGGTCGCGACCTCTCATCCACAAAAGCCCACCGAGTCGTGCATAATAGCAGCTTCAACAACTGCGAGATCCACAGTGCATGACATTCTCGTGATCAGGCAGCTCTCACCAAGCAATAACGAATACCAAGATAATTTACAATCTTTTCACTGCTCACCAGCGACGGCATCATGGGTGACCGAGGCCCTGGATGGGCCCCGCTGGGGACGCGAGCCCTGGCCGAGTTCGCACTTGAACACCCCGAAATGCTTGCCAATGAGGCGGTGGGTCAACGCTACTACGGTACATGGATGGAGGTCATCAAGCTGCCCAGCCTCAAGGCGCTAGTGCCAGCGGCGGTCGCTCACATGCGTCTGCTGCATGCAGTCGACACTTTCCCGCGGGGTGGGTGCGAGCCCTGCTGAATGCGTGAGATTGCGGCTCCATGCAGGTTCTGGACCCCTGCATAATATGTCGTGCAACAGGACGCTTGCCACTGCAGCGTCCATCCATGTTGACCGCCCGCACTTGAGCATGGCGCATCGCACCTGCCGCTCACGCCGCCTGCCTGCTCGCCTCAGGCGGCGTGTGCCAGGGACCGTACCTCAAGGAGGCCCTGCGGCGCTACGAGGACGTGTGGTTGCCGCTGCTGAGCGCGCGGCGGCTGGCGGGGCAGGTGCGGGCTGCGGCTCGTCCAGGATCAGGCCGTTCGCATTTCCAGCAGCGACCGCTCCATGGAATCGCCGTGCACAAGTTGTATGTCGTCTGGATCAGCAGCAGGGCACAAGAAGACGCGGTTCTCCACGGTCTGCTGCACACGACTGGCAGGAACAGCCGGGGTAGCCTGCGCCCCAGAGCTGCAGCCGCCGCCGCCCACCCAAGGAAGCACTAGCTGATGCGGCGCGACACGCCGCCCGCATCCGACTCTCAGCCGTGGCAGGACTTGGTGCCGCCCCTGGACGTGGCGTTCGTGTGGCACCTGCACCGCCTGCAGCCGTCGCTGTACGCGGCGGACTGCCAGCGGCTGGCGGACGCGCAGGGGCACGTGCTGCACGTCGAGCTGTCGCAGGTGAGAGGGGTCGTGCTGTCCTTCGTCGTAGAGCGATCGTCCCCTGGCGATTGCCGGAGCAGCAATGTGCTGCTTGAAATCGCCAGGGGACGATCACTCTAAATTGAAGGCCGTGCGGGGCCCGCTGAGGTTGCGGGTGCAGCTGAGGGTTCACCCTGCGTACGTGGAACGTGACATCCTTCAGGCATGGAACGCGCCGCTGCGCGACCCTCCGCAGGCCTTCGCGTTTACAGACGGCACGGACAAGGCCGGCGCGGCCTCTGCAGCTGCGTGGCGCGCCGCGCACCCCAAAGAGCCGTTTTACCCGCCCCAGCCCGGCGCCGCGACGGCCGCATTCCGCAGCCGCCTGAGCGCTGACCTGGCGGCCGCGGCGGTGCGCGTGCCCATCTTTACGCACCAGCTGCTGCGGCAGCAGTACGTGCAGCGGCCATTCCTCAACCGCGCACTGGCAAGGTGAGCAAAGGCCGGCTTGCTCTGAGCGACTTGATTCGGCTGTGCGGTTGGAAAAGAAGGAGAGAGGGCGCCGTGTTGTTGCCTCCACATGGCGGATGTGTCAACGTCAACGGGGTCGATGGTGCTGCCGAGCAGCCCCTATGCTTTGTGTCCTTACTGAACTCATTGCTCAATGCACCTAGGACCGCAAGAGCCCAGCACGTCACCACGTCACACACCCCACCCCATCACCCCTCCACCAGGTATGCCAAGCTGCTGCTGCTGCGCAAGCACCGGCTGGACCTGACTTCCCCGCTCCCAATGCTGGACATGGTTCTCATGATGTAAGCGTTGGGGGGGGGGGCGTGGGTGTTTTGATTGCGTGCTTGGATGCGCGAGCGCTGTGCGCATGCACACGTGTCCGCTTGCACGGGCCTGTACATGCAGGCAGCTGCGTGCTTGCGCGCGAGCGTGCAGTGGTGTGGGTTTGGCGTTGCCGCCACGCCTCTGGAAAATATCGTCCAATCAGGAGTGGTGTTAGGAGGACAAACATGTCCCGCCACTGGCTCGTCAACCCTTGGAGACCAGCTGCCAGAATGCTGGCGGGCCTATGGACCCTGTTGTCTGGGACACTCACTTGTATGACCTACGTTGATTTCTCAACCACCTGCACCGCGCCGCGCCCACGGCCTCGCCTTGCCGCCACCCAGGCACACCCACATGAGCGCCAGCGGCCCCTATGCCTCCGACTGCCGCGAGCTCTTCGGCCGCCTCATCGAGGAGAGGCCCTCCGCCAGCCGCCGCGCCAGCGGCACAGACGGCGCGGCGCCCGCCGGCGCCGGCGACCCCGCCGAGGCCGGCGTCAGCAGCGCGAGCCGCGACAGGAGCCTGGGGGGCGCTTGGAGGTACCACTTTCTTGAGACCCGGAGGGTGTGGCTTGAGGAATTCAAGGAGCCGTTTGTGCTGCCGGGCACGGGGTACGTCCCTATGGACAGCCTGCACCCCGCTGAGGTGGCGATGGGCGGCCTGGGGGTGCTGGGCGCGTTCGAGGAGGGGGCCGGCGGCGGCGGCGGCAGCTGGCGTGCGGGCGCGCACGCGCTCTACCTGACGTGGCTGCGGGAGCCCCTGCTGCAGCAGCCGCTCGAGGAGGCGCGCGCGGCGGCCGAG